CGTGACGTGGCCCGGCTCTCCTGGCACGCGGGGCGCCGCCTGCGTGGACGGACCTGGCGGGACGGGAAACGCAGTGGGGACCTGCGGCCGGTGTCTCGCGCGCCGAAGTCCCACCTCCAGAGTGTGCTGTCACCCAGACCAGAGCCCTCGGCCCCTCCGCTCGGGGTCCCGTCCACGTGTGGGCCCGCCCGCCACTGGCGTCAGCATCACTGGAGACCCCAGGAGAGGGCCAGGGGCCCAGGGCCCGAGCGTGTCATGGCTGCGGCCTCCGGGCTGCAGGACGGGCGCCAGGGGACGCAGCTCTGTGATTCCTGCGCTCGGGGAGCTGCGGGTCCCACGGAGAGGGTGTTGGGTGAAGAGGGGGAGACCCTGGAGGGTGCAGGTCACACCTCCTGGGGGGTCAGGGACCTGCTTGGGCCCGGCCACTCGAAGCGGAGAGAACAGCCCCTGTGCGGAAAGTCGGGGAGGCCGCCCTCCTGGCCGCTCTGCCATGCTTCAGGGTTCAGTGGGCGCACGGCGCCCCCTTCAGGTCGTGCCTGAGGCCGGCCTGGCCTCCGCTGCTAGCCGGCGCTCTGGGTGGAAGCCCAGGAGGCCAGACGGGCCTCGGCCCCCCGCACGGCGGCCGGACACTTTCCTCCCGGGCTTTCTCCGCAGACGTCCTTGCCGTCCTGCTGACTGACTCGCTCCTGCTGCTCCAGGAGAAGGATCAGAAATACGTCTTTGCTTCTGTGGTGCGTGCCCCCCTTCCCGGGCCCCAGGCCGCTCTAGGTCTGTCGGCGGGTGGTGGCGTGGAGGGGCCACCTCGACAGCGGGACCCCAGGCCAGCAGAGAGCAGGGGGCGCGAGCCCCTCCCCCAGGCCCAGACCCCACAGGCCAGCGGGCTCCGGGCTCCTCCCACACCCCCCAATCTCTGAGGCCCCTGGCCCGTCCTTACGGGCTTAGCAGCGTGGACTGAGTCCGGCGGCCGCTGCCCGTGGGCTGCACTCCGCGACCTGTGCCTTGAGCGTGCTGGCCCCGGCCAGCCCTGCTGCCAGGCCTCTCGCTAGGCGGTCGCCCCTCCCGCACCTCCCCTGCACGCTGCTCCACAGGCACCGAGCAGGCTGGTCAAGGCCTGCCTCGGCGGCCTCACCCCGGCATGCTCGCCTCTGACAGGCCCTGCTCCGTAGTCCGGGGGGCGCGGGGGCTTCAGCATTGGGATTTGGGGGGCGGTGAGCAGCCACCCAAACCGTGGGGTTCACTGATGTGGGACATCATCCTGTAGGTGGGGTGGGGGTGGGGAACGCCGTGGGCTCCGGGGGTGCGGGCCCAGGCTTGGGCAGACTTGCTGCTGTCGCGGACGGCCCCCCCACGTGTCCTTTGAGTTTCACGGCGGCCACGCGCTGCTGCCCGTGAAACACGTTTAAGCACGTCCGTGAGCGCGTGGGGAGACGCAAGGACGCCGTGTGGGGCTTCTTGGCCCCCGGCGAAGCGCCTGGTGAGCTGAGAACGAGCGGGCCATGCCCTCCTCAGCCCCTTCCCGCACCCAGGACCCCGCGGCCGTTTGGACAGGAGGGGACGCGAGGTGACCCCTGTGTGCCCCCAGGACTCCAAGTGCCCCGTCATCTCGCTGCGGAAGCTCATCGTGCGGGAGGTGGCCAGCGAGGAGAAGGCCATGTTTCTGATCAGCGCGTCCATGAAGGGGCCCGAGATGTACCACATGTGCACCAGCTCCAGGGAGGAGCGGAACTCGTGGATGGGCCACATCCGCAGGGCCGTGGAAAGGTGAGCCGGGCCGGCGGCCGCGGCCTGCTGCGCCTCCCCCGCCCTCCTGCGTGGTGCAGCCTGGCGGCTGCAGGGCCACAGCTGCTCCGCCTGGCGGCTGCCCAAGTGCCAGGCAGATGAGGCAGGTCAGCCTGCTGCGGGGCGGGGTGTGCCCCCGACCA